TAGTACAATTTTTTCTCAGTATATGTCAGCAGTAAACAGCAGACATCAAGTCAAACAAACGCTACCTGGGCATAATAATGCCTACTCTGTCAGAATAAGGTCTACTGTATTTTTCCTTGACAGAACAGAATCTACTTCATGCTTAGCAAAATATAGTCTATCATGTTTGTAGTGTGCAAAATAGGATTTACTCTGTGCAAAATGGAATCCCCTGTCTCTGCCTGGCAAAATAAAAACTACTCCTTGTTTGGCAGAATAGAATCTACTCTGTGCAAAATGGAATCCTCTGTCTCTGCCTGGCAAAATAAAAACTACTCCTTGTTTGGCAGAATAGAATCTACTCTGTGCAAAATGGAATCCTCTGTCTGTGCCTGGCAAAATAAACACTACTCTTTGTTTGGCAGAATAGGATCTACTCTGTTTTTGGCATAATACTGTCTACTCTATGCCTGAGAGAATAATGTCTACTATGTGCATGACAGAATAGTGTTTATTCTGTCTGTGCTTGATAGAATACTTTCTACTCTGTGCTTGAAAAAATACTGTCTACTCTGTGCTTGGCAGAATACTGTATACTCTGTCAGTGCTTGGCACAATACTGTTTACTCTTTTCAGTGCTTGGCAGAATACTGTCTACTCTGTCAGTACATGGCAGAATGTCTAATCTGTCAGTGCTTGGCAGAATACTGTCTACTCTGTCAGTACATGGCAAAATATTGTTTACTCTGTCATTGCATGGCAAAATAGTCTCCACTGTCAGTGCATGGCAAAATACTGTCTACTCTGTCAGTACATGGCAAAATAGGGACTAGTTTTTTGTACTACTTAAAATTTCATAGGAATCAGCAGATCAGAATCATGTGGCATCAAATGTCTGTGCTGTTCAAAACTGGGTGGGTGAGTGGGTCAGACTAATACAAAGCTGAATATATAGTATCTGAATATTGCCAAGAGAATAATAATTATAATCATAAATCCAACAAGGTTAAACAGATAACATACATGTATTTATAACCAGTTACCCAACACACTAAAATAGCAAACAGGTCTCTCTTTGTAAACCCACCATTATTTTAAGAATGTAAAATATAATTGGAGGTTAAATCTTGGATGTGGCTGGCCAAATGGTTGGACTGAGGTATTGACATGTATATGGATACCAAAATGACCACTCCTGCCTAAGCAGACTCAACATTTTCTTTATCAATGCATATTTATTTCTTTGAGGAAAAGGGATGGTACATAAAAGTACAATATATCAGTCTATGAAGGAAAAATAGTAAATGATCTTTTTCCTAAGAAATTAGTGAAAATAACAATTACATAAACAACTAAATCTTAACAGGCTGATATATAATATACAATAAAATAAACAGCTGAAGAGAATATTTTCTTATTCGATGATAGTCATAGAACATAATGCAAAAAGGTGCATGTTTCTTACAACCAGCATGTGACACTATTTTATAAACATTATAACAAGAATGTAAAGATCTGCATGTCCAGCCCATGATCAAAGCTTTATCACAAAATAAATGTGTGACCTTGTCCTCATGTCTCAAGGTTAACCAAGCATGTCACAGTCAACTATCCGAACTTCATATGGATCCATTCCAAGTATAAATAAAATCAAACAAGAAGTTTAGGAAATAAAAGAAATGTAAAAACTTCACTGAAAACTTATATGACTGAACCTCCGATGCCAAAGTCTTCGGACAAGAGAGTGGAACACAGCATTAACCAAAAGCTTTCTCTGTGATCAAGGTCAGAAGGGTCATTGACCGTAATTAAATGAACAGTCTCAGGTTCATGATAATTTATGACAAGTATGATGAGAATCTACCAAGAGGTTTAGAAAATATATATACAAATGAAAACCCTGAACCAAAACATTAACTGTTGATAATGGTGCCAACACCATTGCTGCCTGTATCTGAAAAGCAACTATGTCCAGCTTTCTCACCAACATGTGCTCAACAAATAAAAGACACTTTGAAACTGAGAATCATAGATTGAGATTTGTTAAATGTATGTTTATTTAAAAAAATAAATCACAAATTGCATGAATAATGGATAAAAGAATGCCTGTCCTATGGTAATCAGTCAATTGTTAGGTTTCATCATTATTTTTTAATAGTGTCATTTTTCACACCCAGTCAACCAAATTCTAGGTTTTATCAGGTGTTTTTTTTATTTAAGGGTGACAGTTTTTACACCCAATCAGTCAATTTGTGGGTTTCATCAGTTTATTTACAAACTGACAATTTTGACATTTTTCACATCCAATCAATCTAACTGTAGGTTGAAGTATTCTTTTAAGCTTTTTTATAAAATGAAAGTGACACTTTTCTTGATAATTTTTTTAATAATGTGTCAGTTCGTTTATAAAGTGACAGTTTTCACACACAATCTTTAATTTATACTAGTACATGCAATCTATCAGATCTGGAAAATGCTGAGGTGTGAATGCTCCCCCACTGCATTTACCATTATACTCCTTTTTCAAGTAGACAGCAAACCTAACATGCAATTTGTACCCAGCGTATCATTTACAACATAATATGCTTCCATCACTTTATGTGTCTCACTCAAAATTAAAAAATTGTACAAATTTCTGATTTTAAATAAATTCTTTGTGAAAAATTTTGGTTCAAATTAAATGATACTTTCTAGGGATTCTTTGTTGACAAAAACTTAGAATGCCTTAAAATTAACAAAAAATACAGTCCAACCTGTTGTTTTTATTCTTTTACAAAAATGAAAATTGTCTACAGTATGCTCCAAAATAAAAATATGTCCTTCCAGTTATTAAAAAAAAATAATGCATGTAATTACATTTTTATGTGTTTTTTTTTTAAATTCAGAAAACATAAAAGACTCTGGAATGTGCTTTTGATGGAAAAAAAAAGACATAAAACAAACAAAAATGGTAGCTAAAAAGATTGTTGACAAGAAATTTACTAAACATTTAAATCAACACAATAGGTAATATGACAAAAGTTGCATGTATCAAGCAATGACAAAGTTCATCCAATCCCTTCAAAATGAGGAACTATGATAATAAATCTGAAAATGTGTATCAAGATAGAATTGCACTGTATAATGGAAGACTACTGACAACCCAATTAAAACTAGAATGGTTAAATTTAAATAAGCAAAGTTGAAAAAATATTTAAACACTATGGCTGATTTCTAACAAGTATAACTTCAAATCAGTAATTCTAAGTTCTATTTCAACAATGTTGTCAACTGTAAGAAATGCCATGTCAATGTACCCTGCCCTCCTTCCTGTGCCCTTAAGTTCAACCTACTGACTTGATAATTAAATTGCCCATTTGTAAGCAAGTTCAACCTATTGACCTGATAATTAAATTGCCCATTTGCAAGCAAGTTCAACCTATTGACCTGATAATTAAATTGCCCATTTGCAAGTTCAAACACAAAACTTTCTGATGACTATACTTAAACACATTTTTTTGTGGGGTTAATGGCCATAATTCAGCACAAGACAAGTTATACATGGCAACCAGCATAACCTAGAAAGATCCTGGGAAGAACCACTGACCCATGAGAAGCTACTGGTAGGCTTTCTCACATACCCACATTGATCAAGCAGAGAACTGAACTCATACAGAGGTGAGACCTGTGGATAATCTGTAAAGGAAAGTGTCTTAGACCACTGCATCACAAATGGCCCTATACTCACATTAACATTTTACTGATATATTTATTTTTGAATGATATTCTCCTACATGATAAATTTTCTTTGAAAAAGCAGCTGTATTTTACAGTTTAACTGTTTTATTTCTCAGTTTTCCAAATAATAAAAAAAGAATGAAATACGGCAATGTGTACAAATTACCATTGTACAAATTGTTGATTTTTCTGTAATACAGAATACTAGTTAATAATTTAATTAACAAATAAAATAATTTCAGTTCTTAACCTAACTACAATTTTTCTTTTGTATATTTTGTCATGGAATTTGATAAGATTTAACAAGTTTAAAAAGCCAAACTTTTTCCCTGATAAGCCCTGAGGCTTCAAAACTGCAAGTTTTGAAATAAAATGATTATTGGTAAAGCAGATATAATATTTTTTTTCCATGACTTCTATCCAAATCACCATAGATTTTCCTATTATTAACCTATACAAATTTTGTGTTTACCCAATGCATAAGTAAAACATATCTTATGAAATACCAAATTTTATAGTCGTAATATACCTTCCCATTTGTTTGAAACCCACTACCAATTTAAAATATGAAAAACATAAATGATATAACAAATGAACAGAACATTAGCTTATTCACTGACTTATAATTTTCAAACCTGTGACCAGGGGGACCCTAACACCATTATCAGCTTCGCATTTCATACCAAATGGATCTTTTCAGTGTCACAATGACCCTGCTTGCAGGTCATTTCCAGTTACTGGACAATTCAATTTTCAGCAATGGGGTGGTTGCACAACTATACATGTATGTACATAGAATGAAAATACTAAATTGTCTGCTTCCAATATTTACATGGTCAAATCCATCAAAATAAAAGAATGAAAACTACAAATTTGTCTTTCATGTGGATTAACAAGTGTTGTAATTTCTGTGTGCATTTGTGTGTGTGTGTGTGTGTGTGTGTGTGTGTGTGTGTGTGTGTGTGTGTGTGTGTGTGTGTGTGTAGTGGGATTTAACTATGAATTCTCAATCTTTTGGTTATGTATGGAATTTTCTGGTCATAACCAAATAGGATCAACTAGTCACCTCTGTCTGGTGTATGTGTGTGATTTAGATTTTTAATCTAACTTTAAACAAATTTAAGTGGCTACGATGTCTGTAGTGTGGCATTTTATAGTGATGTCTAGCACTAGGACAATATGCCACAGACATGTAGCATGATGTCCCAACTAGTCACATTATCCTGACACCAGGCCAACCAGTCCTAAAACTAACCTCTTAATGCTGAGTGCCTAATGAGGCAGCTGTATGTACCATTATTATATGTCTCTAATATGACTTGGACAAGATTCAAACCCATGACCTCACACATCCAAGGTGGATGCTCTAACCACTAGGCCACAGGAGCAGTCTTCCAACTGATGAAACAGACTCGCAAGTAGTATGTATGGAAACTCCATTAAGTATGAAATAGACATGCTATGTATGGAAACTCCATTAAGTATGAAAAAGACATGCTAAGTATGTAAACTCCATTAAGTATGAAATAGACACACTATGTATGGAAATTCCATTAAGTATGAAATAGACATGCTATGGAAAGAAACTCTATTAAGTATGAAATAGACATGCTATGTATGGAAACTCCATTAAGTATGAAATAGACATGCTGTGTATGGAAACTCCATTAAGTATGAAAGAGACATGCTATGTATGGAAACTCCATTAAGTATGAAATAGACACGCTATGTATGGAAACTCCATTAAGTATGAAATAGACATGCTAGACACACTATGTATGGAAATTCCATTAAGTATGAAATGCCATGCAAACCATGACAATGAGGGACACCTTGGTCATGGTCAGGTTAGCAATTAAAAATGTAGGAAACGATTAAATTCTGTGCATTTTTTTTATCACATTTATAATTTTCTTTATTGAAATTGTATTGGGTTACAAACAGAGATTTAGGCAGAAACACTTTTTTTTTTCAATTTGGTCACTTCTATAGCAATTAATCCAGTCAAATATATAAGCAAATATTTTTCACATGAAATGTCTAAATATAAATAAAACGATCATCACAACTGTGAAAAAGCTGCATACAATTTTGCAACATCATCAACAAGTAAACAAAGGCATAACATGGTAAAAGTTTACAAAAAATACTTCCAAAAATTCAGTGGTCAAATCTACTCTAATTTGATACTGATCCTTTCTTCTTGCACAGCTATCCACTATAAATGTTTACCAAAAAAGTCAACCAAACTTGGTTTGTACTTTTAAATCCAAAAATGTCCAAAGTCATCAGAAAAATTATTGATAACTTTAAAAGGTTTATCAAAGACCAGTTCAGTTAAATTGTTCTAAATATTAGAATGAAATTAAAATATAATTATCACCGTTCTGCAACATTTAAGCCATATGAATTTGCCACCTATAAATAAAAGCCAATGTGAACAAGGATGACATTTAGGCTACATATCTCCCTTAATTTAAAACAGTAATGGTTAATATTAATGTATCTTGCTTGCTGTTATTCTATTTGATTTTCTGAGACAATAAACCAATTAAAACAATTGCAACAAAAATTAATAATGGTATTGTACATTATACACTGCTTTCATAATGGTAAGTATAGGAAATTCTATAATCAACCAAAACATCATATTTAGCACCTGCAAGTGATTGGCCTGTATATAGATCTAGGTATCAGTTTTCTAAATTTTTAAAGATGGTCCCATTCCCAAGTATAAAATATAACCAAACAAACACAGTTAAATAATTGAATATAAAATTAGGAACAAATTTCTTACAAAGTTTTTTATAAAAAACAACAAGTATAATTTCCATTAAAGATGCAAAATAATTTCCTAGGCCACAGAAAGCTATAGAACAAATGTAGGCTACCCTTAAATTTCTCAGATTAAATTTATTCCTTTACAAAGCAGCCAGATCAACAAAATGAAACAAGAGGTTTACTTACACAAGTTTAAAGTCATGTAATTGTCTTGTACTGAACACAATCCACTATACACTTATTAATCGCCCATTTAAAGATTTCCATTATACTCTACAATATGGCCTAAGATACATGTGATTCTATCTGTGGTAGGACAAAACACCTTTTTAAAGGCTGTCTACTGCATTAAGTGTTTATTGCTGAATAATACTAATTTTTAAAATAAAAGATTTTGAACAATTTGTGACAAAAAATAAAAATATTTTTGCGTTCTATCTACACATTACAGGAACAGTGGGAACCAGTCTACAAGAGACCAAAAATGTTATACTGATGCAATGATGTGTGGCTAAGTAATTGGCTTATTAGAAGGCTAATGTATGTACATCAAGTGGTTAATTACCTTATTGCTGTAATCTTGAAAGTTTAAGGTCAAAAGTGGAATATTTTATATGGTGTAATAAATGTCAAATGGAACTAAGCTGCATCATGATGATTTTGAAGTCTTTGAATAAAAATCAGGATATCTTTGCCTTTGAAAGAGGCGATATAAAAACAAGACCCAGTAAAAAACATGTCTTTGGCAGAAGCATTCCAGTTTCAGCAGAAACATTTTCAGTTAATATCTAGCTTTTTGTATTGTTTAATTATTATTGCATTGTTCAAGATAATTTTAAATTTAATGTCAGCTCATATAGTTTCTGTTCTTCTCAAAATGCCAAAATGTGTTTTATACTAGTGCTATTAAACCACCCACTAAAAAGTATGAGACGTAGGAAAACTGGAACTTCTTTCTTGGGTTGAACATAAGTTAATAAGTAGCCAGCCAACTTCAAAACCCAGGCACAGGAAAAATTAAGTTTTAACTTATCTGCAGACATAGTGAGGTTGTTTTGTCATTGCCACTTCTGATGCGGACATACGCCTGTCTCCGTTCTTCAGAAAATACAAACCTTATACAAGGGAAATTTGACTCAAAAACCTATCGAGAACATGTTATGTGTGAAACTTAATAATCACAACAAATGTCAGCAGTGATCATTGGGTCAATATCTTTTTAAGGAAACATATCGTTTCATCAATTTTATTACTTCAAAACAACTGGCAGTAAACTATGTAAGATAATGGTCCCAGGACTGCTCATAGCTGAGTTGGCCCATTATCAATCTCAGCCCACCCAAATCAACCCATAACATACTCAGCCCATATAATGTACTCAACCTAATGGTCCACTATATATATAACATTAATCTGGATATAATATTCTTTGTTTGACCATCACTTAATTTTTGTATTCTTTGTACTTTCTTTCAATGGTCTTTTATTTTGCAATAGAAATATAATGAAAAAAATCATAATCCCAGATTAATTAAATTATATACCTTAGTCAACATTCTGAAACAGTCTCTGTACTACTGCTGTTAATTATTGATTGAGATGCATCTACTCTATCACTTGTGACTTTAAACATATAGACACAGGTAATCTAATTAGTTGCACTTTCCATTCATATACCATAAAATATGTATTTAAAGTTTAAACTGCCTCTGCTCTTTAAAGGCCACTACATTAATTAAAGAGTTTTTTTTAAAAAAAGGATGAGAACAGAGACAAAGCAAACATTTCACATTCTTATGCATGTGTTCCTTTATTATATAATTTGGTACCTTTGCCAATTTTTGCCCTGTCTTATTCCTTTTTTATTACATAATTTGGTACCTTTGCCTTCTTTCAATATTAACTGAAATTTATTTATATAAACTTATTATCAGCAGTAAATATTTGATATCCTCTTTTCTTGAACCATTTTAGTACCTATATAAAGTTCATAGGAGGAACAATTTTCATTTGGAAGCTTGTTGGTGCCATTTAAGGTGCCAAGTTGTCAACAGTCATGACTGAATTGATTTGATTAGGATATATTAGTATGTTCCACAAGTAATATCTAATTTAATCTCAGTAATTGCACCTACATGACCATATTAATATAAACTTTACATATTTTAATTTTTCTTTGAGTAACAGCTGACAAGGCAAATCAAAACAGAGGCTGACTTTGATGAATGTTGATTCTGTAATGGAACAAGAATGTTGTGGAGAAATTTCTTAATTAAATCTTTATATGCAATAGGCTGGCTTTCTTATGGGTTGACTAAATTATGAACCAAGATCTCCAGTTACCAGATATAACACTCTTCCCTTTTCATCTAACTGACAATAAATACACTGACTGGTATTTATTCATTTAATATATGACACAATGATTGGTATTCATTAATTTTTAATTAGGATCTCATTCAAGTTTTAAAGTTGCTGCTTTATAACAGAATGAAGAGAATAATTATTGACAGATCCACATGTTTCCTTTCAGTATCCTTTAAACAAAATAAAAACATTTCTTGATTAAAAAATCTATGGTTTGGAGGCCAATCCACTAATCATACTTTATAAATTTATTGGTTTTATGTCCTGGTTTTGTCATGTATGTTTTAATGATTTCTGTTATGATCTATAATATGGCCTATTTTAATAATTTCTGTTACACTGTATAAAATGGCCTATTTTATTGATTTGTTACACTACAATATGGTCTATTTTAATGAGCTGTGATTTCTATTATGCTGCATTACCCTCCACAATATGGCCTATTTTAATGATTTCTGGTTTACTGTACAATATGGCCTATTTTAATGATTTCTGGTTTACTCTACAATATGGCCTATTGTAATGATTCTGCTTTGCTGTTATGCTCTACAAACTGGCCTTTTTTTTTATAGATTTCTGTTGTAGTGTGTTATCCTCTACAGTATGGCCTATTGTAATGATTTCTCTTATGCTCTACAGTATGGCCTATTGTAATAATTTCCGTTATGCTCTACAGTATGGCCTATTGTAATAATTTCCGTTATGCTCTACAGTATGGCCTATTGTAATAATTTCCGTTATGCTCTACAGTATGGCCTATTGTAATGATTTATGTTATGCTCTACAGTATGGCCTATTGTTATGATTTATGTTATGCTCTACAATATGGCCTATTTTATAGATTCCACTATACACTACAAGACATTTTACTAATTCTACTGATACATGTCCGAACATTACAAACCATTAGATATTGAAACAATTACATAAATTTTATGATTGTTATTATTGTTTCAAATGAAAATTAACTTGGCAGTATTATATGTCAGCAATATGCTTGGATTATTAAACCTTATTTGCTGTGCTTGATATGACTGAGGTCACCTGACTTCTTTACATTCACACTTAAATGGTGACATGGCTAAAAATAATGACCAATAAAATGCATCTGCAGAAGACAGTAAGAACTAATTAATATTCAAAATAGGCCTGCTTTCTTTTTCAATTCTTTCCTCTTCCACTCGGGTTGACTGATGAACTTTGAATATTTCATTCCAAAGACCTTTTCAAATTCTTCACT